ACAGAGACTAAACCACATCTTGTTTAAAACGACCAGCAGAGGGAAGGCCGGGAAGGGTACCTCGTTGATCTGCCTCTTCTGTGCAGAGATGCGTTTCTGTGTCTGCTTCTGCAGGATCTGCTCCCTCTTCTTGACGTACTCGTCCGAGCTGGAGTTCAGCGGGTTGTGGAACTCGTCATAGCCCTCATCCATCATGTACCAGTCCCGGTCGGCTTGCTGCAAAACCGCAGTCCAGTTTCACGTTTGCTATTGGCTCTCCGCCCTTCGCAGATTTAGACACATATTATTAAACAAGGTAACCCGGAATGAAGGTGCAATGTCGAATGAGGGCAAAAGATTTAAAGGCACAGATCTGTGCCACAATAACAGTGAGAAAGTGCAACCCCACCCCCACCCAACCACCCCCTTAACTGACCCTTTGATCTTCCTCCCACTGCTGTCTCTCATCTTCGTTGTCAAACGCGATGCCATCTTCTCTGTCCTCCTTCTTTCCTCCTACATAAAGCAGCAACACAATCAGCCATGACCAAGACCCGCCCCAGGACAAAAAAGTTCCTCGTCTTGTCTAGACTGTCAACCTTAAACACAATTCACTGACCATAACACCTGAGCACAGAATTTATTTGCTGTGTCAAACCCTAATTATCCCTACATGCATTTTAAAACATATCAGTGCTCTTCCTGAAATTGCCTTCTGGCAAACACTCCCAGGATCAGCCATCTCATCATGCTCAGCAGTGACAGATCCTTTGAGGAGTGACAATTACAGCGCATCCCGTCTGATCATGTCAGGCTCAAGGGTGTGTGTGCCGTACCTTTCCCGCGCGACAGGCGGGGGGTGGAGCCCAGGTGCTTCCTGTCATTGGCCCACTCGTTGTATTTGTAGGAGGGAGTGGGCAGGGGGGTATCAGCCGGGTACCGGCTCCTCACAGACCTTGGAGACAGAGAGAGTGCTGAGGTCAGAGCTGGAACGCCATTCTGCGGCAAGCACAGGCCTCACACTCAGGAACAATGCCATGATAATGGACCACATCAAATGAATCTTGGATACTAAAAAAAAAAATCCCGAGGCACAGGTACGTCCAGCAAGCTTCCAACAGCTTATCTAATACAGGGTCTCCTATTCAAGGCAGCACAGGGCACAAAGCGGGCAAACACCCCGGGCAGGATGCCAATCCATTGCAGGGCAGACACAGGATATGCCAATTTACAGACTTCGTTGCGTGTCTTTGGACCCACAGGAAACATGCAAACCCTACACACAGAAAGTCTGGGAGGGACTCGAACCCTCAACCCTGGAGGTGAAAGCAAAGAATGCCACCCACTGAACACTGATCACTTAACCCTGTTGTTGTGCATAGTTAATTTCACCAGTTTTTATTCAGCCAGCTATCAAGTTTCAATAAACACTGAGCAATTACCCATTAATAAATAATAATAATAATAATAATAACAATAATGTTCACTTTGTGTCACAGAAGGTGAGATATCCAGGGTTCTTAAGGATCAGTAGGGGTCTGTGTTTGGAGCTTGAATACTCACCGATCCCGCCTTTCACTCTCCCGACCAGGGCGGTGGCTCCGTTCAGACTTGTCCGATTCTCGGTGTGAGGGCGCTGGGGATGGGGACTCCCAATGGGAACGCCGGGAGCTGGCATAGCCACTGTCATCCTCGTCCCAGCTGGAGCGGGACGGCGTGGGAGCATCTAAGATAGAAAGGGGGGCCTTTTAGTGAAGCCCAGTACTGGGCCCCAGAGATGGGCCACATCCATCGGTGGGGGGACACTAACCTCTGGGCCGGTGTCGAGGGCTCTCGGGCTCGTCCCTCTTTATTCCGCGACTCAGCCGCTCAGACCAACCCTCTCTCTGCGAGCGCTCACTGCGCTCACCCCTCTCAGAGCTCCCTCTGCTGGCGCTACGCTGGCTGCGCTCCCGCTCATCTACAGCGATAGTGAATCCATGTGGTCCGTCAGTCACATGACAGTCAACAACAGAAACTCACCATCCTTCAGTCAAGCAAATGATTACAAAACAAGACCATGAAGGTGTTTAAATTAAGGTACCTTCTGGTATCCAAGTATGAATTTAGGAATCCTTTGCTCACCTCTCCGATCTCTGTCCCTTTCTCGCTTCTTCTCCTCCTTGGAAGAGGCATAAACTCCATGTTCACGCCATTCTTTCTCCCTCTGCTGGTGTCTCTTCCGAAACTCTTCACTGACTCCACCGGGGTTGGACGGTGTTTCAGAACCAGTGACACGATATTTCCTGACAGAAGGAGATTACAGGATGATAATCCATCACAGGGCACTCAGACATGCTTACACACAATCCATCTAAATCAAGCATATCTGAGAAAACCCACATAAACCCAGCCAAAACCATGTCACCGCATGACCACAACTAAGCCACCAATACCAATGCTGTTTACTTTTATTCTAAACTATAAATTCACTTATAAAAGACATATTTAGTTGATACACTTGTGTTAACAGTTTGATAGGTCATAACACCTCACCTCTCTTTCTTGTCCCCCATGCCCTCTTCATCACCATCTTCATCATCTGACCCAGAGTCGGCTCTGCCGTCCTCCCAATCCCGGTATGAAGAAACCTTGGACTTCTTTGTCTTCTTGGCGTCGTCCTCGGCCTCCTGCCGGTCCTTCTCCTCACGCTGCTTGCGCTTCTGTGCCGCCAGAAGATCGAGGCCCAGCAGGGAGGTGCGAGGGGTCGGCGGCCGGAAGACGTGCTGCTCCGACACGGCGCTCTTCTTCTTCACGATCAGCCCGCCGACCTGCTCGTCAGGTTGGTTGCCCTCCAGACGGTGGAGAGTGGCGTCATCCTCCATCTTCTCTCGGGCAGCTCAGGGACGACGGTAAAATACTGTACCGATGGTTTATAAAGTCGGGTGCTACGTAAATACTGTACAACCTAAAACAAACGAAATCAAACACTAATTTAGTAAAACGTATATACATACTCTAAATACATATTTCCGGGACACTGAACATAACGTTAACCTCAGATTTGCAACTGCTGTGAAATTTTAAATCACGAAACTGTCGTTATCAAAACGAGGAGTATACCACTCTTCTCAGCTACATAATTTTTTGAAGGATAAACACTTTATATACAACTAGATTACAAATAACGGTATATATGCGGAATGTCGAAAAAATTATTCGTAAACTGGCAAACAGCTGGCTCACATAATAACGTTTATAAGTCAAGTAGATCAACATCCTTTGAACAATCAACCAGTTCCCATAGTCATAATCTTTATATGTTGTTAAAAATATAATTATGAGTCGCGCACTTACCCAATGGATGTAAACTCTTGTCCTCGAGGTTAGCGTTAATTTCAGTTCATGTGTACTGTAAATATTGTGTAGATCTTAAGAACAACAGCACAGGGCCGCCATAGCGGACCCAGAATCCCCTGCGTTTGAATAAACTTTATTGACAGAATAGTGGCTGACAGTTACATTGTACACGGGGCAGTGACACTTCTGGAAATTTTAACGAATCATTTACTGGTGATTCGGCAGGTATGACGAGTGTATGATCAACAAATAACGCACTTTGTTTGCAGTTTGTTTTGTATATAAAATTATTCACGAAAAAATAAACACCACTAAGGCAACATTCAAATCCACATTGCCGGATACCTCGTTGATATGAAATTACTTTTCAACAGAATGAACTACGTATTTTATGTATCACGTATAGTGTTTCATTATCCTGCTTCCCCTTGTTCTTGTGTACTGCTATTTACCGATTTTGGACACCGTCACATTTCGGAATCCATTATTCCCGACTTGTCCCACCCACTTCACGCGGATTGGACGAGGATGTCAGTGTGCGTTAAGTCGCCCAATAGCCAAACGAAACGCACGCTTCGCATATCACCGTACACCGGCAACGGACGGATTTCGCCATTATACGTCGTCTTTAACAGGTGCTTTTAATAGGCGTATCTCCAGCAAGGTGTCTGTTCCAGCATATATCCATTAAAGAAAAAAGAACAATACCTTAATTTCTATCGTGTTATCCATCACAGTATTTTCTATGGATGAAAATGTCTGCTGCAGTAAACGTGTCTGTTAAATATTAGTAACAATGCCCAAAACTTAAAATTAGGTCTATGCATAATTTAAAAATTCTAAGTTTCATGTTACTTTTGTTTTGAAAATAACTTGAAAGACAGACAGTGAGGCTGCTTCTTTAATTCCAAAAGTGCATATGGACAAGCAAAACACATGAACATATTATGGAAACCAACCAATCTTAACCCAAAACCGCTGCTTTACCAATTCCATCGCCAGTTGTTGCATCTCCATAGAGGTATTCCACAGTGCTAAAATGCATACGATAACGTAATAAAGGGACTAAGTGGCCATAAAATAAATACAGTACACAGTTCTGTAAACACAAAAAATACCCAAATGAGAAGGCATCGCAAGTTGAAAGGCAACTTCTTAAACTGAGGATCCTCAGTTACGATAAGTATTACAGCGTTATTTGTGTGGAAAGACCATGTACTGAAAATAAACAGCCAGCATAGCAGTTATGTGCACCAAACTTACACTTATTGATTTTAGCAGGCGGGACATAAAAAGGGATGTAATTTGAAATGATCGATATAAACCACTAGGTTCGGTTTTCAAAGCTTAAGTAAAATTATCCAATCAGAATACAGAATCAAATACACTCCAAGTGCTCAAGGTATTTAACAGCTATAACAGACTATTTAGACAATTAGCTAAATAATGAGGGAATCATTCTTGGTCTGTTAGCAGTATAATTTCTTGATATTTTTGATATTCAGCCCTACAAGACATTTAATGACATTTTTCTCCATTTAAAAACACCATAATTTTTTGTATAAAAATGACAAGCTCAGCAAATGGTGTATTTCCATAGACTATGAAGAACAAGAACCTGTAAACTTCATAAATAGTTAAGTGGAGGGGGGGGGGGGGGGGGGGGGGGGGGGGGTGGGGGGGGGGGGGGGGGGTCTGAGAATGGAAATGAAATTATACAAAATATATGCTGATTTCCTGTGCATCTCCCCCCCATCTCTGGTGGGCTTTGGGTTGCAGGTGGATGGTACAGCTATGCTTGAGACCACACCTACTCCTTCTGCTCCAAACTGGTTTAATAATGCAGTGTGGGAGTTAGGGTGCACCTCTGGATCGTTAAGGGCAGTCAGTGTGGTAAGTGATCCAACAGACCATCACATCAAGGCCTCCGGGGACAGAGAGAGATGACATCAATGCTGTGCTGGTTCCAGGTGGTTCATGAGGACTTCTGTTCTAGCACGTAGTACCGGTACATCACACCAACTACTGCTGCTGCCAAGATAGGAATTACCCAGGTGGTCCAAGAACTGTAGAAAAAGGGGGGTGGGGGGCAGTCAAAGTTTATATACCTTCCCCAGATGATTTTAAATGAATAAAACCATTGAGAAAGCAGAAATTATGGCTTTTGTTGTCAGTGATGAACAATAAACAATCTGGTCAAAATAAGCTTAAGGTATTACTGCGTATATATCAATCAAGCATTAAAAGTGAACAATATGCGAGGCTTCGTCGGCCCCAATTCCATCCAAACACCAGCTTCTTTCCAGTCAACAAGGAAGTGTCTCCACGAATGGTGTTCTTCACATACCTGGTCTTGCCTGTTGTTGTAATGAAAATATCCTAGAGAAGAAAGAGCAGACATATTAGTCTAATTCAAGAGCTAATGGCCACTTAAACATGAACAGGTCTGACAAGCAAATGAAAAATATTTATGGAAGTACCACACCAGCACCACACTAACACACAACATTGTAAATATATTTGCTATAACTTGATATGTAAATTACCTATTGGACTCACCTTTCCAGCTTCCTTTTTGCGATCATTCTGAAAGTATAATTTGAAATTTTATTCTTTATAATAAACGTCATTTGGTGGCATCACTGCATACATTTTAAAACACGAGTAGCCCCATGATAAGTATGCATCTGTTAGTGAAGCAATCTTATCTTTTATGCATATATTTTATTACTTAATGGAAAATATAAGATACCATAAATATGTTTACAGAACAAAAACAAAGAATGTAGAGCAACATTCCTTGTACTGTACTTGGGATCCGCACCAATGTTCTTCCAGTAAGCTGTAAATTTAATTCTGCCATTGTCTAGTGTGTTATATACCATTTGAAAAAAAAAGTGTAAAATCCTTGCAATACTTTCTTACCACATACTTTCCTATGAGTTGCTATTCCTAAAAAATGTAGCTCATCATTAAATAATTTGTATTGTATATGTAGAACTCAACTTGGATATGTAGAACTCAATGCTCATACAACCAAAACATCCACTTATCTACAATTTATCTATACATTGGTTTTATTGTTTTCATTTTCTCTATCTGCTCATGGTTTGAAATGGTGACGCTGAAAGATCTTTCCAAATGTCATTTGTAAGCACTCATGACAATAGAAGCATGAGGAGGAAGATGCATGTGTACCATGTGAAGTTCCCCGATGAAATACTGCTGAAGCATCTCCCTGGCATCTTTGGAGTGACCAACATCTTCAAAGCTCTCCGTGGCATCCGTTCCCGCCTGTTCCAACAGCACCTCCTCACCTCCTGGATGCTGGCCAGTGGTCAAATCAATTATAAATCAATCATATTACCCATACTGCATTGCACTACAAAATAGACCATCATTACACATTTCGTACATACATATAACAAAACTAGTACTACAAATCCATCGTAAGATATTTAATTTGTCTTTCAAGGCATTTATTAAAACTTAGAGGGAAACAGCAAACTTAATTAAGGACTTGGCCAATGAGGCACAGTTTAGTGCTGTATCAGTCTTTAGAATTAAGGTGGTAAATTCTCTGATAAACAGAGAACAGTAGATTCACAAAGGAACCAGGCAAACCCCAAACTTCAACTTCAACCCGAGTAAGGCTAAATGTGCCATTTGAAAGTTTCTTCTTCCCTCTAACTGGCTGTTTTTTTTTGTTGTTTGTTTTATTACCAGCGTCTCCAGCTTCATCTTGTTCCTGTGTATTGCTGTCTTAGAAACCCTGAGCCTGGACACAGCCTGCCTCACAGTGCGGCCTTCTGCCAGCAGAACCAGGATTAAACTAGGACTTTTAAAAAAAATGGAGGGATCTTTTAATTTTTTTCAGAGAAGTAAATGCCGGTGAGACTTTTGCGTGCCTATTAACGTAACACGTTAATTTACTTCCGAGTGTGTGTGTGTGTGTGTGTGTGTGTGTGTGTGTGTATGTATGTATGTATGTATGTATGTATGTATGTATGTATGTATGTAAGTAATGGAACCCCTGACCGCGGTTGCACAACCGGATGAAACTTCAATGGACGTTTCTTCACCAGATGTCAGTCTAAAAGCAGTGGATACAGTTGTTTGATTCAGGATTAATCATTAGACTGTAGCTAAATATATCAGCTCATAATTATACACGATCACCTGTACTTGGTCCTATGGTACGTTAAATCCAGAATGTGGCATTGAAATCGGTGGCCTAACGACTACTGGTAAACCAGCGAATGAATCAGAAACCCCCGGCGAATCATCAACTAAAATGAGAAAACGGTCGAAGTACAACCTTAGCGCTAGTTAATGGCCGTGGAAACGACCATGGTCAGTTTTATGCGCCGGACTCATGCCTTACCTCTTCCAGGAAGCTTGTGATATTGTACACTTTGTCGTGAATAATGATCCAGGTATCCTTACTCATGTTGTGCTGTTTGATCTCTTCGAGCGTGAAATACTTGACAGAGCTCTTCGAGAGAGCTTCCGTGTTATTGTCCGTATCCATTTAGTGTTTCGTCGTCGGCAGTGATAAAATCGTATCAATCGAGACGGTTTGTTTGTGGCTAAATTCAAACTTGTCTCGTTTCACAGTTGCACAACCACAACCCGTCAACGAAACCTCTGGTCCCCTTTGAAAGGAGAGAGAATAACTTTTCTCCACCCGGCCACCGTATCGTTCACTCAGCTGTCACGTGCTATAGCCAATGGCTGAATCTGCTGCCAATGGCCCAATCAACATTTAGGAATTGCACAATTCAGCCAATAAAATGCGGGCTTCTAAAAACGACCAATCAAAGTCACCGACATACGATCGCCTGAGTACCTGAGTATATATGAACAATTAACTTGTAAAAATACTGCGTACCGTACGTTAAGCATGTTATTTGTCCGACATTTGAGTATGAGACGCTCCAAAACCTCAATAAGCAGAGGCATCTTAATGCACCCATCCCTCCCAATCAGCAACTTTAACCGTCGCCTATTTTTACTTGGCTCTGACCATGAGGCCTCTATCCATGTCAATGTGCCACCGCTGATAAGATATATTTGTGTACGCGGACTGGCGCCGATTATCTCTGAATAACGCTGAGTGGTCATACGTAAGCCAAGGTATACATTACATTTCTGGGGGGTTGTATTTACTGTTTAAAGGAATGCAGACGTGCTCATCCTTATCATATACGTTTACCTGACCTTTTACACTTAGGTTCGATGTAATATCACAATCGATTTGGAAAAATCGAGTTAACTTTGGGGATTAAAGAAGATAATTTTCCATTATGTGGCCACTGGGTGGCAGCACACAGCCATGACAAAGGGGGCCTGGTGATCGATCCATGTCTTTCTGCACTAATTACTGTTTATTTATGGGCCTGATTATTGTTTGAGGCTTGTATGTATGTGAAAGGGTTGTTAAGGGTTGAATGGAGTAGTGGAGTAAAAAGAAAACACTGAGTTGTTAATATCCATCTCTTGTCCCAGATTAATGTAGAACTTCATTTCTGCAGTCACATTCCTGATCTGTTACAGGGCAGTCACTGATATCGGAGACAATCAGAGAAACTTAATTAGACGCCAAAGGAATCGTGGCTCTTTGTAAAGATTTTTTAAACAAAAAAGTTATAAAGGAAGGTCGCATCCACAGGGACACCGATTGCTGGGAGGGGTGGTGGAAACATCTGCTAAAACTTGGGCAGGAAGTACACTCCCTTATTGCACATAGTTGTCCTGAACATAAGAGCTCAATGAGGACAAATTGTTACGCAGACTAGCATTATATTTACTTAATCCAGAAAGCGGGTCCAAGTTTAAACCTTAACTCCAACACCTCGGTAAAGTTAGCTTTATATGCAGTTTTCCGGCTGTAATATCTCTCAATGTTTGTAATATATTTCCATATTCCTGTCACTGGCGGTGAATGGACGCAGTTCAATTATTAACACGTATAAAAACACAATATTAAAGTTACATGTTGTACATTGTACTATTGTTTAATGCTTAAAGAAATGTTTACTTGACATATCTGTATTAGGTTTATTTTTGCCGTCACGTTGCAGGAAATAAGTGGGCAAGTCTAGTGGGAACGCAAAAGTAAAAAAATATTTTCCTACCCTGACCTTTTAGGGGCTCCGTAGTGCAACCAGAAAGAATAAAAACATATTGATTGTCTCATGTACGTTACACGTGTGTGTTATAAGTTTAATGGATGCACAGAAGACGAGATAAAAACAAACTGCAGGAAACTTTGGCCTGTTTGCCCAGGTTCAGACGACTGGCTGGAATATGGAAGGTGGGTGGTTTTTAGCACTAGATGGCGCTATGATAAAGGTCTGGTATGTGATGTCGAATAGTTAGGTATGATCTACATGAATTTATTCAAAGAAAATGTGAATTCAAACGTAATTTTAGGACATTACTAAGATTAATCTTTAACCACCCTGGTACCTCTCCAGAGTAAATCAGTAGCCAACTGAAAACATCCAAACACAGAAACTTGGTATAAAATCCATGAACAAAATAAACTTGCTGAAGGTGACGGAACTCAATTAATTTATCTTCTTGTTAAAGAGTAGTGTGTGTGTGTGTGTGTGTGTATATATATATATATATATATAAATAATGTATATAAAACTTCTAACCACTCATCCTGGTCAGGGTTTAGGGGTGTGGCCTATTCTAAGCAGAACAGGATAAGGGTGCACCTTGGACAGGATGCCAGTATGGATATATTAGCCCATGTAAATTAATGGAAATGTATCCTATATGTTATTAACCAGCAGGTAGATTCAACCTTCTACTGGCATTTTTAGCCATTCCATGACATGAATATCTGATGTGACTGCTTGTTTTACTCATGTGTCAGATAGTGCTTAACTGGACTTACATTAGTTACACAGTAAAATGTTGTCAGGTTACTTTAAAGGGTTCTGGCTTTGTTGCCTTTGTTATCAAACAGATGCCTCCTTCTGTGTGCAAACAAAAGACTCTGAAATGCTGATTGTTTACAAGGAGATTAGTAATTTTTGGACCACTTCCTTTTACTTATATCAAGCAGTGCGTCAGAATATTTGGCAATTTTCATAAAAGAGCAGTTCAAGCTAAACCAGAAGCTGAGGTAATCATCCACTCTGGTTTGCAGCTGGTAAATGTGCCAGTTATAATGATGGCACTAATGTACATATTGTCACACTGGGATGCATGAAAGGATGAGCTGGCAGCTGGAACAGCAAGGTTAATGAGACCTTAGCAATGCAATGCAGAAGCATGGAGAGCTACTCGTCCCTTTGATTTCATTAGCTTGCGTGTGTGTTTGTTCTGTTACAGCCCTTCACATCAGCCCTGACTCCGTGGAACCACTTGCATTCTGGAAATGTCCGGAAACTGCAAAGAACTGTACAAACATGATGTACCCCTGAACAACAATCAAGTGTCCCTTAGCCTCTCATAACCAACAGCTGATCTCAATGTACAGTTACCACCAGACCAACAGGCTTAGATATTGACTGGTTATCAACCTCTCATGCCTGTCAGTACTAGAGGGTGTAACGACCCACATCAAAGAAGGAACTGCTATAGCATTGGATTTTCACCCATTCATCTTCCATATGCTCTACCAGGTCACAATCACCAGTACTGACAAGGATAAATTCCAGTGCAATTTTCCTCAGTCCTGCAAAACGTTAAGCAGTAAGCATCGTTTTTGCTACTACAACGCTGAGCACAAAGCCCAATTCAAGGCAGAAGACATGCATCATAAGATCGATTAAAACAGGAAACCAGATACATGCAACAGTACCGGTTATAACAGGATAAGAAGCTGAAATTGCATTTTCACCCTGTATTAGAAGTGATGTTAGGTAGTCTGAGGCTGCATTATAACTATGTGTTATCTGACATCAGTCCAGCTGGGTTTTGTAATGCTGGGGGGGGCATGGATTTAGTTGGCATGGATTATGTGCTCAATGGAGGAGTGCACTGAGCGAGCGAGAGTGTGACTGAGAAGGAAAAGGGTAACATTACAGCTGCAAAGAGAGGGAACTGAAGACGCCTGCGTGGTAATGGAGCTCCCATTATCAGAGCTCAGCGAGATGCCAGGTCCAAAGGAAGATCATGCAGGAAACATGCGTGTGATAGTGTGGAAGAAGGCTGCAGGGAGGAGAGAAATGTTAGATTTTATCATTAAAGCTAGGCTTGTATTCAACTATGTAGACCCCAAAGTTGCTAGATGCATCAATGACACATCCACAAGTGAATGGACTTCACATCCAGCTACAAAGACTCTCGTTGTTAGTATTTGTCATTTTTAGAATGCTAAAATAGCAAAAAGGTATACAGTAGGGGAGATTGTGCCTCAGGACCTGCTTATTCAGTGCCTTATGTGGAGTTTTTGTGCATAAAAAAAAACCTGAGTGCAGCCATTTTGATCTGAATGCATCACAAAATGCTGCTGTGCGCACATTACTTATATTTACAGCTAGGAAGTGTCGGGGGGGGGGGGGGGGTCAGCTGCCAGTGCAGGCTGTGATGCTCCCCAAGTAAATCAGGGGCAAATGGTTGAAAAACATCTGCGACCTAACATTCAGATATATTTCTGGAACAGCAAGGAATTCACAGGAAAAGCGAATCAGCAGTGTATTTTAGGTCAAAGAACAGGCAGTCAGATGGACAGCATGCGAAAGAAATATGTAAACGTTTTATTTTAGAAAAACACAACCATATCAAATCAAAGTGAGAAAACCAGGTTTCAGCATGTGAATGAAAATAACTCTAACCTCACTGTGGAAAATGGTTTGATGGGGCTGTATTACAATTAAATACCGGCTTCGTCTCCGTAGAAGGACACATTAACAGACATTTTATTAAACATTTCACCCAAGCATTAGTGAGAGCAGTGCCCTTTGAAAATCCTGCAAAAAACAATCTGCAGACTCAACAGTCTTAATTACAAAAAGCTTTTCCAGGTGAAAAAAATAAGCTGAGAGTGCCATAATCAGAGAATACCTCACAAGACCGGTGCACTCTCCAAGCCTCCAAAGACCATACTGTAGCTCACTGCCACTCAGTTTATTAGTACATTGTGTCCTGATCAAAATTACATGCTTGCATCAGAATGGAGATTTAATCAACTGCCAGAATTTGGGTTATTGAAGATGGATCAAGGCTCCATTTTCTTTCATAACCTCATTTCTTTCATGTCTTTGCTAACTGACAATTAATTCAGTGTGAAAACAACAGCTGAGTGATTAGTTCATTCATGGTTTTTGCCAGTGAAACGAGATAGGAAAAAAAAAAACAGGCTTTGATTGTTTGCCTCAAGGGACTTTTTCCTTCCCCATCATCATCCTATAGCTAGAGAACAAATATCTCATAGCTTCTGACCCCACAATCTGTGTAAGAATTTAGGTCCACATGCTAATAAGCTTAATCGTGCACATTATAAGGAATCAAGGTGAGGTTGTGGAAAATCATTTTTCCAGTGGTCTGGTTGACATGACTCTAATGTCTCAGGTATTTTCAAAACCCCTTTGTTGTGTGCAATTGGAATTTTTAGCAACTTATATCAAATTAAAAATACACTTCAGGACTGAGATATAGTTTTAATTGAGATCAGGCATTATTTATGAGAAGGATAATGCCTTGCTACAGTCCTGATTTGAATTTGAAAGGCTGATCGCTTCTCTCCATGGATGTTAAACGTGCATTTTTCAACCCAGTCCTCAGGAAGCCCCCACAGTCTATATTTTTGCTCCCTTCTGGTTCCCAGTATAATCGTGCCAGTTATTTGGTGTTGTTGATTGTTTGGTACAGGTGTGCTGAGAGCTGGGAGGGACCAAAATGTGGACTGGGTGGGGGTTCCTGGGGGCCAGGCTGAGAAGCACTGGTTTAAAGCACATTTCACTGAGTCATTGTGGGTCAGCATCGCGGGTCACGGCAGAGTGACCAGACTGCAGACAGTATCTGTTAATATCTTATTGCCAACCACCTGCAAGTCCCACCTCATATGACCTGCAGCCACTGTGTGATATATGTCATGTAATTATGTCCTGACAGTTGTGACACTGAGAGGCAGCATGCAGTGAGGATGGCCAAACACTGACCTTTTCAATTAGCAGCTGGTCAGTTCAAGACAGTCCCAAAATAATGCTTGGCAAAGAAGTGCCGCCCACTCCCGACTGGCCAATGGGAGAGCAGAAGCCAACGCCTCAGCTGGGTCCCAGTGGCTCCAAGTCAAACCACAGCCCAAGGAGTGATGGGCAGGATTCTCATCAGTGCAAGATAGATCCAACAAATCGCTCCCCAGAATCCTTATCCTCAGCCATCCCATGTCTTGCGTTCCAAAAGCTTCAACAAATATAAGGCTTAATTAGATTAACAAGATTAACGGGAAGGGAGAACAAATTAAATATGTGCTGGACAGGCCTAAGATATTTTGGACTCTCAATCCATATAGAATTTATTTGACCTGTTGGGTGTCGCTCATATCCATCCATCCATCCATCCATCCATCCCATAAACCAAAATCAGCGGGAAGCTTACATAATCATAACACTGGTATAGATGTGTCTGTGTGGGGACTTAAGTTTTAAATCCACTGATCAATTATAAACATGGTACAGATCCATCACATGAGGCATTCACTGTTTGTCTCACACAATAACGTGTAATCTTGGTCAGGTCCACATGGTGGCGCACCTCTGAACCACCCACAAGATGCATGTGCAATGACATAACAGTAACATTAAAATGTCACATGACTAAACACAGCAAGACACAGACATATTAACATGCCAGTTCTTGGCATTAGAACTGTATGAGATTAATGCTTCTGAATAGCGTTTCCCAATCCGGTCTTCAGGGACACATAGTTGGTCCATGTCTTCCTCCCTCCAAGCTCCCGGCCACAGTCCACATTTTTGCTGGGAGTTGGGAGGGAGCAAAAACGTGGACTATGTCCGAGGACCAAATTGGGAAACACTGCTTTAGGAGGAATGGTGCCACATCTCTTATGGTCTGCTCCTAGATGGAGACTATCCACTTTTTGTCCCCAGAGAGCCTGTCCACATTAGTCCAGCATTGATTCAGCTGCCATGTGACATCTGCGGCTAGCAGCCCACAAGCTCCGAAGTGTCCCCAAAAAAAGCAGTACGGCCAGCTTCAACGGCCAAGAAACAAAGCATGTCACACAAATAGAGATTCCGATCCGATGGTCATTTCCATAACATCTCCACCCAAGCCAACTGCAGTTAAGATACGAGAAAACGCTTGTACAGTTCCCTTGCATTTGGAAGTGCATTCTAACTTCTGCACTTCAGCTGGTGATGTTACTTACAATACCATAAACTTACAAGGCCTTAGTTTGTCTTATGCATAGGGATGGAGGCACCATTAAGGAAGGTTGGGACGCTGGTTCTACGATGGGCGCATGACCACTAAAAGACTGAGCATTTCATTTCTGAGTCAAGTAGATCTTCACTGCTAACGGCATTTAAGTAGGAAATGGATGTATTTAGGCAGGATTATAGCAAAGAGACACTTAGAAACAAAGGCATTAAGCTTTATTTTCCCCATACAAATTCAATTTTGAACAAGCATATACAGTACTTAAGTGCATTTTTTTTTACAAATATAAAATTTTAATATACAAATTCATTAATTTTTTGTTTGAAAAGCATAAAAACATGGTACCATGTTCAGATTTAAGAGAATGCAGTTATATACAGATCAAACTAGCCATGTCCTTCATGATGAATTTCTGGTGAAGTTGTCGAAGTCCATCATACAAAAGCATCATGGCACCAAATACTCAGCAAATACTCAGCAAATACTCAGCAAATACTCAGCAAATACTCAGCAAATACTCAGCAAATACTCAGCAAATACTCAGCCTTCAGTGTCAGATCAATTCAATAAATTCAATCAATCAGACCGACCACCATCATGACTGATCTTGGATTTACCTTTAAAGAAGCTTAACTATTAATTCTAGTTCCACAGCGACCGACCTGTGTTTTGGGGTGGGGGGTGTTGGGGGTTCACTGTACACAGGCTGCAGGAGGAGGGGCCAGCCAGCAGCCAAATGGTCACATGTGGGTCTCCACGGCCAGCGTGATCAGCGTGCATGTCGAGGACACGCTGGCCGATCGCTCCTGGAGACAATTGTTGTTGTCCCAGACACCGGCCACCACATGAACCCCCCCAGGGACCGAGCACCTCAGCCCCTGCCCGGGCTGGGGGCACATGCACAGGCAAAGCCTCTGTGCAACTGAACGGAACTTCCGGCGAAAGCTGCGGTTGATCCAGAAATAGAAGATGCAGTTGAGGAAGCCATTGGCAGTAGGTAGCCACACAGCCACAAACTCCACCCACTCTGGGACCGCACTGCCCGAGATGGCTGGGGGGGGGGGGATAAAAACCAGTGCCGAAATTGAGTGCACTTGGAGGTTTTCGCATCCCCACATTTAACACACACAGCTAGCTTAACCCCCCCAGTGAAAAATCAGCTGAGCTGTAACTGAACAACTTGCGTGATGAACAAACATACAGAGCAAATAAACGTGAGTGATCCATTATAGTATATAAAAAAATAGTAACTTCAGACTGGTGTAGTACAATATGCACATTCTGGAAATTACTTTTTATGTACCAAAGGTACATTACCGTTTACATATTTGATATACTAAGGTCACGTGTCATTTCAACAGCTTTTCAGCCATCTGCATTGGTCTTTGGTTCCATTAAATAAAAACGACCAGGATATTGATGGCAACCTAGAACTCAGTATTGCATGGACTGGAATTTAGGTTTAACCTTTTGAAACGATCTAATGTCGCATACAGATAACTTATTACACATTACGATTGCTTACTATAGAAGACAATGCAATCCTGTAATGTAACGCCTGACTAGCTAAACATGCACTCACCCATACTCACCATTATAGAGTATTGTAACCATGCAAGGAGTCCAGCACGCGTAGTACACGGTCATGACGGGCACCAGCACCCGCGAAGCGACGTCAGGCCGGTCCCTACCTCCCATTTCGTGCTTCGAAAGTTTGATGCGCTGCTTCTTCGCCGCCAGCCAGAGCCGGAGGTTGGCGTAGGTCATGATGGTCGAACATGGGAAGAATATCAAGCCGGTTAAAGTCAGCGAGTAGCCAACGTTGCTGGAGTACGAGGGATTGCAAACTAAAGACGCGGTGGAGAAGTGCACCTCGATGATCGTGTTGGGGAAAGAAATGGGTAGTAATAAAACTGGAGGGAAGAACCAGGCGAAGGCGATCAGAAGTTGGGTTCTGTTTCGGGTCATGACCGACGAGTACTTTAGTGGATAAAAGACGGCCACGTATCTCTCTATGCTTATAGTGGCCAGCGTGTACATGCAGGTCGCGTAGATGGTGGAGTTCACGAATGCCACCACATGGCAAAGCGGGTCCGGCCCGTCGCTGTAGTCCTTCAGAAGACTTACACACAGGTTTAGGGGCATGACGATCAGCCCAAAAGCGGTGTCTGCCCCAGTTAGAGACATCAGGAAGTAACGAGAGTTCCTGGACCAGCCGGCCACCGAGGAGGCAATAACCAAGATCACCGCGATGTTTCCCAAAGTGATCATTGCACCCAAAATTGATATTATGGCGACTTTTATGGGACGATGAGATAACTCCACAAGCCTTTGATACTCCACGCTGGTTGCATTGAAGTCCTCGCTGGTGACCTGCCCGAACAATGTTAAGTTCGCGGTCAAAGGCATGATTACTTTGCAAAATTGCTATCATTTGCCAGTACCGTACTGCAACTTGTTCAAAATAGATGCACTCAACGAAGACACTACACGAGACAAACTTAATATCTAATTAATCTATATTTTCATATCAACATTTGACACACATATCTTAAGACCAGCTCCACGATTAAAAGCGCACCTGAGTTGCATCTAATTATATATCCACGTGGTCCTACCATGCAATCAATCAGCAGCTGTAACGGAAACGTGGATTAAACTACTACAAACTTTAGATTTCTAAATATTCATGTCTAATATGAAAAAAAAAAGATTTTTTATTGTTAAAGCGAAATTCCTTCATAATCCAAATGAAACAATTAACAGATTGTTTTCTGGAAATATGGTGCTTAGTATAGCACTTTGGGTGTTTATACTTAGGGTTTCAGCCGCAAAATCACGAATGAGAAATATGTTATTTCTGAATACCGAACGACACGTTTTTAAAGATAATGTAACGACTAAGTAACAATATCATGCAATTTTTTACCACGTTTGTGTAAAAAGTAAGATGTTGCGTTAATACCGCAACACTAATGAACCTAGTGGCAACTGAAGGAACTGAATTCGTGCCAATTTAACTTCAACGCCTGTTAAATCTGTGTTGCTAAAGAAAACATTTGAAGGCCACACTAAACATTATTTAACGACAACCCTAAAGACTTGTTAATCCATATAGATGCATTCCCTGATGTACAAACTGTTTTTTACGAGTACATGTACTGGAAACGAGTATCTGAAAAGCAGACTTGTCTACATTTGCATTGAATGAACTGCCTTTGCAGATGGGGACAATGACATGCTATGTGAAAATGCTAATTGTTTGTCTTGCGTTTGTAAACTAGTTGTTGGGATAATTGTTGTTGACGCCAGTCATAATAAACGTTAAACTTTTGCAGTTTGATAGGATGTTTAATTAGAGACCTTCACCTGAGCTGTAAAGGCAATTTATTTATGCACTTACTTTCTTAAAAGCCTTGTTCTGCACTCTCATTAAAATCTAACTGCTGCACGTTAATATAATACGTCAGTGTGTATAATACCGTACATCTTTATGACCGATTAATTTAAAAGAAATCATAGTCATAAAATTTAACATGACGTACATTATTATAAAACTATTATAGCTTTATAAATGGAAATAATGCACTTACCATTTCTCTTTCATGTACCGCTTGTCAAACGATTGTTACGTTATTGTGGAGTGGAGATGAATACTGTATGTCTTAGCCAGTATACGGAAAGATATTCACATGCTGAACAAATGTTTTAAGCATGAAGTTGACACATTTGACATGATGAATAGGTTTCATGTGAATATTCAGAGTGGAGAGAAACAGTTCCATTGGTTCATTTGTTTTGTCTTGGTTCAAACAATTAAGGGGCGAGTTTTCGAATTTCTGTTTTTTTTTCTCTGTGTGCTATATTAATCTACCGGAGTATATTTTAAAATATTCTGTAGGGCTGGCTTCAGGAGGTTCTCATATCTACTGAGAGCTCCTCTGGATAGCGGACTGAGGATCTGGGCCATTCCACCAAATCGGTGCCATTTCTGTCCCCAGGACATTATATGTATAAATATTTATGAAAAGTAGCTTTATAATACATGTTATCATCAAGCATAATGTCCTGCATAATGTCCTCATTGCAAATGTAAGACACATAATCTAAAACAGTAATGTAAACTACCTAGATCACTGAAAAAGGGTGTGTCACCTCTCCCTGCTCACTAATGCTATACTACCATGAAATATAATGATTAAAAACCTCCAGTAATCTTATTTTTCTGTAATCCTATTCATGCTTTTAATACATTTTCCTTATAGTAAATCATTGATTGCTAGTTAGAATACACATTTTAGTCCTGCCCCCAGGTTTTCGCTCATTCCTGTTACCCTGATACATTTCTGACCCTAAAAAATTTGGCACGTTCCTTCAGTGGCATGTTCAACGGGAACTTGCATCATCTCAGTCGCCTGAAGACCACAGGAAACCCAAAATTAGTTTTCTCATTTTCTTTCCTGTGTTTTAAATGATATTGTAAGTATGTCTGAGTCGAACTCAGTGCTCAGTCCTGTTATCCAAATAATTTCTTAGATTTAATACATTAATTTATTAAAATATTTTTTTGTAAGTTATTTGGCTATGCTCAGTGTTATCATGCTATTATGTTTGATGACATGTGGCTATGATTCATGAATACATTTATGCTAAAACTCAGTCCTGATACTTTCTGCCCTGTTACTCATATAAATAGAGAAAAATACAACTTGCATGCATATATAGTTATTTTTTAACCACAAATATATATTTTTGAACATAACCAATCATTTTTGTAAAATACACCTTTACTGAGGGCCACACAAAACAACTAGTTTTTATGATTTTCATATGATATTTAAACGGTTGCTTGAGGTTTTGTTAACAGGATTGAGAAACTACCTTCCACTTAAAAATAAAAAATATATATCAGTAAGGGAACCTGAGATTGACCAGTGTACACTGAATAGTGAAATACATTCAGTCTGTGGAATCACCCATCTTGCTGGGAATTTGTGCAGAACATGATTGCTCAGACGCAGGTTTAATCCTCCAATCAGAGGAGACCTGTCATACTCAAAGAACTGACACCAGACCTCAAACTGTGTCATAGTGGAGACAGCTCAGGTGTGGGAGTAACATGGAACTAGGAGGGTCACCTAGCGATAACCAAAGCACTAGATTATCAGTGTAAACACTGCCCGTCAGTGCTATTTTCAGTGATGTTGCTTACATTTACTATATAACTGATGCCCTTTATAGAACAGAACAAAAAAAGGAAATATTTTGCAATAAGGCAGGAGACGGTGAGTTGGAGTGATCAACCTGAGGACCCAATGCAGCCTGCCTGTCTGCCTGCCCTCCTGCTGGCCTGCCTTCCTGCCTGTCTGCCCTCCTGCTGGACTGCCTGTCTGTCTGCCTGCCTTCTTGCCTTCCTGCCTGCCTGTGTCTACCTACCTTCCTGCCGGCCTGCCTGTCTGCTTGCCTGCCTTCTTACCTTCCTGCCTGCCTACCTGCCTTCCTGCCTGTCTGCCAGCCTGCCTTTCTGCCTGCCTGCCTTCCTGCTGGCTTGCCTTCCTGCCTGTATGCCTACCTGCCTGTCTACCTTCCTGCCTTCCTGCCTGTCTGCCAGCCTGCCTTCCTGCCTGCCTTCCTGCTGGCCTGCCTTCCTGCCTGTCTGCCAGCCTGCCTTCCTGCTGGCCTGCCTGCCTTCCTGCCTGCCTTCCTGCTGGCCTGCCTTCCTGCCTGTCTGCCAGCCTGCCTTCCTGCTGGCCTGCATGCCTTCCTGCCTGCCTTTCTGCCTGTCTGTCTGCCTACCTGCCTTCCTGCTGGCCTGCCTTCCTGCCTGTCTGCCTTTCTGCCTGTCTGCCTCCCTCCCTTTAATTCGATCCATGGTCTTCTGACAGTGTGATGAGCTGAAGGGGACAATGACAGGCCCAGAACATCAAAGGCCCGTTTCAGCCTGCACTCTCCATACGCGTTTGATGTAAGCGATCCACACCACACGCTGACACAACTTATTAGTCTACAGACCTGGTTTGAAAAACAGAATACAATATTTATTGTTTTTCAACGGAACAGAACCATGGAAAAAATACACATATTTTCAGCTGAATGAACTAGGCCAGCAAAGTGTTTTTTTTTCAGGCGTAATCATGTGACACTGAGCCGGTTCCTATTTTGGCTTCAGAAAAGGACAAAAGAGATTTGTGTGCATCTGACTTCAAATAAACTGGGAAATGTGACGTCATTCATTCATAGCATGATCAGAGAAAATGTAATAGAGCAGCAGATCTAGCCAATGGCTCCTACTCTACTGCTGCTGCATCTTAGCTTACATAATTTGATGACTGATATGCTGATTGGCCATCTAGAATGTAGATACATGTCTAATGTTATATAAGAGTATTTTCCTAAAACGATTAGTAATGTGTTGATTATGTTTTGTACTGTATGGAATACTGTCTAAAGGTGCTGCTATTCTTCCAGCTGCTTCTCCTGTGTGGGGTGATGGGGGCTATAGGACACAAGGCAGCAGTATAAGTAATTTTTTCATTTAAAGTCACTAGTCATTGAAAGGCAACCAATGCAGCCTCCAGCATCTCTGCACTCCTAGACATTGGCTTTTCAAATTTTCCAGAGAATTGGTGGTGTAGATTACACAGTAGCTGTTTTGTGAATTGAAACTAACTGGTGCTTATCTACTTTTGCCCATCACCATAAAGTCTGTTGTACTCCGGCTGCCTCCTGCCTGAAATGCAACTGCCACAAGCCCCAATATCCCTGTCCAGAGTGACGATTTACAGTCCCATAACCTCACAAATAACTAGGTTTGTTTGCTCCGCTAAGCCTGGTTTTGGAGAAAAATGCTCTCAATACCCCTTGTTTAGACCAGGCAGACTGTAAAAAATGGGACGAGTCCTGCAGGAAGATCCTCTTTTAAAGGTGGCAGAACAAACATGAAGTAATGAAATGCAACTTTGCCTTCTTAATTTCAGGCAGCGTATCAGATTCTCCTGGACATGCAGTATATTTACTACACAGCTGTCTTTTTATATAGCTAGAGAATCATTGTGAAGGAATATTTTACATCTACGATCATGGAGAGAATTTTGTCAAAAGGTTATAAGCATTACCAGGAAATGACAGTACAGGGATTGTGGACATGGTGCTTTAGTTTAATAAAATAGATGGACAGCATTGAGTGGTTTCAGTTATGCTGTATATTTTAACGCCCTGTCTGGTATGTACCACAGTCTCATGCCTCGTACTGTCAGGGACCTCAGGTTGCCCTGTAGGTATAGCTGGTGTAAGTGGATCATAGATGGGTGGATGTATATTTTAGGGGTCCTGTGCCTTGTGCCTTGTGCCCTGTAGACTCAATGATCACCCATCCTTGTACTGGACAAGCGCTTATGGATGGTGAATAGTTGGTGTGTATTTACAGAGTTATGTGGCTGGACACCTCTGAGTGATAGTGGCGGGGGGCCCATGTGAATTTTATCAAACAAGAGGGTCTTTCTGAGTGAGACACTGAGAAGCTTGATGCTTTCAGCCTGGCCAGCATTTTGACCAGTAACCAGACTCTGCCATGATGGACTAATTAGCTGGCAG